CTGCTGAGTCTTTAGCCCCAAAAACAGTTTATAGACAAAGAAATAGTGGCTGTTCAGGCCCACATGTTCTGAACTTAGTGATAAAGCCTGGTGGCTTTAATCAAGTCTTTAATTATAATCGCTACATTTCAACCAGGTCTGTTAAAGAGTAGAAATGATTCCTCGAAAAAGTCATTTCAGCTAATAAAAACAGAGAAAATGAGCTCTGAAGTCTGGAAGTGGCTGTTTGTGCTGGAACTCAGTGATGCATGCCGTCATTTTAAATCCTCATTTCCCATCCTACTAACATCCCCTCCCTCATGAGAACCCCAGAGCGTGGAACCCTAAAGATCTGCTGTTCTCTCCCAGCGGGAGGCTAACGTGCTGCAGCTCAGCTCATCATCCCAGAGCTCTCTAGCACCGGCTGAGAGCCGCCCTGCTGGGGGCTAATGTCCCTCACAACCCGCTACAGTTAGCAACGTTTGTCCTGCAGTCAACCACAGACGCTTCAGAGATGTTGGCTGAACCAGGCCAAATGTTCAAATGTTTAGAATCTATCTAAGCATCTGGGCTAAGTTGGACTAAACACCTGAGCTAAATCAGACCAAACGTTGGCTAACTCGGACTAAAAGTGTGGGCTAAACAGACTAAACATCTGTGCTAAACAGACTAAACATGTGGGCTAAACAGACTAAACATCTGGGCTAAACAGACTAAACATGTGGGCTAAACAGACTAAACATGTGGGCCAAATCAGACCAAACGTGAGCTTAATCGAACCAAAGTGGGCTAAATCAAAACAAATATGGCCTGAACCACACTAAAAATCTGGGCTAAATCCGACTAAAGATGTGGGATAAATAAGAGTAAACGTGGGCTAAATCAGGTCAAATATGGGCTTATTCAGACTAAACATCTGGGCTAAACAGACTAAACATGTGGGGCAAATCAGAATAAATGTGGGCTTAAGCAGACCAAACAAGTGGGCTAAATCAGACTAAATTTGTGGCTAAATCAGACTAAACAAGGGGGCTAAATCGAACCAAACATGTGGACTGAATCAGACCAAACGTGGGCTTAATCAGACCAAACATTCGGCCTAAATCCAAACAAATATGGGCTAAACCACACTAAACATCTGGGCTAAATCAGACCAAACATGGGCTTTATCAGACCAAACGTGTTGGTCTTAATCAGACCAAACGTGGGCTAAAACAGACCAAACATGTGAGGCTAAAACAAACTAAACATCTGGGCTAAATCAAACCAAACATGTGGGCTTAATCACAATTAATATGTGGGCTAAATCAGACCAAACATGGGCGAAATCAGACTAAACATCTAGGCTAATTTAAATCAAGCACGTGGGCTAAATCGGATCAAACGTGGGCTTAATCAGATCAAATTTGGGCTGAAATTGACTAAAGATGTGGTCTAAATCAAACCAAACATGTGGGATAAATCAGACTAAACATGTGGGTTAAATCAGACCAAACATGAACAAAACCAGACTAAACATTTGGGCTAAACCAGAATAAACATCTGGGCTAAATCAGACTAAACATATGGTCTAAACCAGACTAAGACCTAAGATTTGGGCTAAATCTGACAAAACATGTTGGCTATATCAGACTAAACATGTGGGCTAAATCAGACTAATCATATGGGCTATATCAGACATAACATGGGCTTAATCAGACCAAATATGTGGGTTAAATCAGACTAAACATCTGGACTAAATCAGAACAAATATGGGCTAAACCAGACTAAATATCTGGGCTAAATCAGGCCAAACATGGGCTAAATCAGACCAAATGTGGGCTTTAGCAGACCAAACGTGTGGGCAAAATCAGACATTACATGGGCTAAATCAGGCCAAACATGGGCTAAATCAGACCAAACGTGGGCTTAATCAGACCAAACATGTGGGGTAAATCAGAACAAATTTGGGATAAACCAGACTAAATATCTGGGCTAAATCAGACCCAACATGTGGGCTAAATAAGACTAAACATCTGGGCTAAATCAGAACAAATATGGGCTTAATCAGACTAAATATCTGGGCTAAATTAGACCAAACATGTGGGCTAAATCAGAACAAATATGGAATAAACCAGAATAAATATCTGGGCAAAATCAGACTAAACATCTGGGCTAAATCAGAACAAATATGGGCTAAATCACACTAAACATGTGGGATAAACCAGACTAAATATCTGGGCTGAATCAGAACAAATATGGAATAAACCAGACTAAATATCTGGGCTAAATAAGACTAAACATCTGGGCTAAATCAGAACAAATATGG